CTCAATGGACCGAAACCTTGATATATCGAACCAAACACCCCAGCTCCAGAGCTTCGTTATATCGAGGTTATACTGTAATAGCTAAAATCGATGTTCTTAATTTCTAGCTATATCAGTATCTTAAATTTCGAATTTTCATAATATCCACAATCGGACTTAATTTGCCGATGGTAACACGACCTGATCTATACTTTCTAAATTCATATAACTTTTTGTAATTTTCCTTAATCAGGGAATAGTTTCACTAACACCAACTGCGTCAACAGTTTGCACGCCAAAAAAAAAAACACAATCAGCTGCTTGGCAATAAATAACCACAAAATTTATCATTATACGTAATGAACTCTTTGTTACGAGAGTTCATCCATTTTTTTCATAAACCACATTAATAAATTACATTAATAAGATACATTAAGCGATAACTTCAAAATTTCTTTCATTCTTAAGTTCATCAATTATATTAAAATGCGGAAGTTATCTGTTTTAGGCAAAATCACACTTATTTCTGTCATCTTGCAAGCGATAATAATCACTGTCTTAGAAGCTTTCGTTGTTTATCTCCATGTCAATTTTGTCAATCAATTTCAGTTTGATTCAACTGGTAATGGAATATCTGAAGCTGATTTAATTTATCATTCAATGTAAGTAATTCATTGTTATTATTGTTATTATTTTTTTTTTAAGAAAAAAATATACTAATTTTTCTTTTTTTCAATTTCCAAGATTTATTATTTCACTATTCTTCCAAATACTTTTAGTAGTTGATGCTCTCTGGAATCGTAATACTGTCCAAATAGTAGCCCTTGTAGTATTCAACCTTCTTTCATTAGTATATGCAGGAATACAACTTTATGAACACCAGATTCTCGAAGATCAAGGCACTCAGAATGCAACATATGCGCCAACTAATCCCATTTTCTCTAAAGATGATAGGACCGCTCCCAAAACTTATTATGAAGCGAGAATGAGACCAATAGAACATACTATGATTGGCTTAATCTCTGCTTTTTCTATATATTTAGCTGTCATGTCTTACTTGCTCACCAAAGAATTTGGTTGGGAAAACTATAGAACTTATTCCGCTGATATTCGAGTCCGCGACGCATTTTGGAATCTTACAATTTTACAGACTTTGATTAAAATGGACGTATTCTTTATTGGATCGTACGCTTTACAACTCATACCCTCTCAACAACTTGGTTATTATTCTTCTATAGTAGAGATTGTCCTCGTCTTTTTTTTTGGTACTATCATGTTGTTAATATCTTGGTTCTCTGTCGCTATGGAAATGAAGTATCTTTTGTTATCAGCGATCAATCTTTATTCTATATCGTTGATTTACTGGGTTTATCGAATTATAACGATTGCCCATCCTTCGGAAGATAAATTTGGTATTTATTCATTTTATATTCATATTTTTTCATCAAACCAATTTCATAAAAAGTCTCACCATTCTGAAAAAACTTTTTTTTTTTTTTAGATCCGTACGAATTTACTCGACGATTTTTAATTTTCTTTTTAGTTATAACTACCGTTCTTTTAATAGTTACTATATTTTATTCCATCATTTGCGTCCGAAATATGATGCGTGGATTTTATGTACTTACTGTATTTGGACGGTCTGAAAATGAGTCTGAAAATGAGCCTGAAGGCAGAAGTCCATATTTAAGCGTTGATAATTTAGAATCTTCTTCTAAACGTATATCAAAGAGACAAAGTGCGATTAGAAAACAACAAATAATAACACAACAACAACAAAATGAAAAAGTGATTTTGGATTAATGATAACTACATAATCTTAACGAAATATATATATTTCGATAACAAAAAAATAATAGCAAATAATATCAGTATATTTAAGTATTTAAATATTTAATTAATGTCGTTGGTAATTTATCTTTTGTTTGCATATATTATTTTTGTTTAATCAATAATTAATTTATTTGTAATATTTAACATTATCTGTATTATTATCATTTTTCACAAATGTGTTGTAACGCACTCTGATAAAATCTTATGTAATAAGAATTATAATTTACTAAACACATAATATTTGGTGTCATATCGTCTAATCACAAATATTACTATTATTATTGCTCAATCAGATGACTTTATTTAAACAACTAAACAATTTTATTTAACAAAGCTGAAAAACATATGGGAA